CGCCTGGGGCACTTTTTTCCAGCCTGTATAATTTTATACGATCCCATTTACAATTTGTTTTGCGTTTAAGCGTGGTTATCTCGATGACTTTAAACGTTTGATTATAGCAATTTCAAAATAATTCGAGCTATTATTATTTTGAATGGCCAAATTATTGTTTATAAATTTATCGTTTAACGCCATCGTTTTTTCTTTTTGTGCGTGCGTGTGCATGTGCAGTGTGCACACCGATCAAATCTCGGTAATTTTTGACGATTAGCTGAATTTTTGGGATTGTTGTCTCTAATGACGTGTCAATTTGACACAGGTAGATATACCAGCTGGGTTCGTTCTGGAGCAATTTCATTCTGAGATGCTCCCAGCTATTTATAACCCTTAAAACTATATTCGGCAAAGCATAAAGATAAGTGGTCGATTATAAATAAACCTCTTCGAAATTGTCTAGAACCAGTCTGGTTTGGTTAATTTTAAATCGTTCACAATAGACAAGAAAGCTAGCTTGATTGCGTTCCGGTAATGTTTTTTTAATCAACGGAGGTCATTAACGATAATGTTAAATTGCTTCTCTAATTGAAAAATAATATTAATTTATGTTTTTCTGTTTATGATATCGAACTTTTGATAGTGTTAACATGTATGTCTCAATTAATCTATTATAAATGTTAATTTTCTATTAGTCAGTTAATAATAATGTGATGGTTTTCATTTTTGAAATAACACAACACTAATTTTTTATTTTTAAGTTAGGTTGATTTCCTCTGTTTCTAAATAATTTATTTTGTCTCAGTATTTTACCTTGTTAGCATTGATGATATGTCATTTATCAAATCAGAACAATTAGTTTTTTAAAGCTATATGTTCCTAAAATATCATAGTACATCTTTTCGTAATAAAGTGTTAATTGTATTAATTCACTGCCTTACTAATTAACTAACCGTGTACGTACGTGTGCTACTATTAAAAAATGTTGAAATAATTGGCTAAATGGGAAGTAGCACTTAATAAATCAGGTGTAATGAAGTGTTACGGAGTTGTTATCTTTGAAAATGCGATGAAGCATGCCAGAGTGCACTTTTTCTTTCAGAAAAAAATACACTGGTTACAACCCTTGTTTGTTTTCTTTCTTTTTTATACTCATATTTAATGTTATCGCTTAAGACATGCTAATTTTTATGTATTTCTTCATTCGGGTACATTTATTATATTTACTAAGGTGGATACAACGAGGTAATAATAAAAGGTAAAGGTGTGCCTATAATCTCATTTGTCAAATTGATTTCAGATGCACTTTCGTAAAATATCTCATGAGATTTTTGTTGTTCTTATTGCTTTCAGACTAATATTCGGGCTATCCGAAAAAAAATTAAATCAGAGTGATTGTTTTTAAAAATTTATTTAGACAGAACTTGTCTAGTACTGCATTCAGACAAACCTAGTTCCTTAGATGAATTGTAAAAATTGATTTTGATAATTTTAATTTTTTTATGGCACGTTTAGATGTACAATCTTTGGAAATAACGTCATCAACATCTTGGTGGGGATGAATAAGTACAAACTTTGGCCAGCGATGTATCGAAGTAATGAGCAAATGTCAAAGAAATTGATTTAGTAGTTTTTAACATAAACTGTAAAATTTTATGTTATTTTTTTTCAAAAATTTTATGGACAGTACATTTTAGAAAAAATTTATCTTGAAATATTTAGACATTACGTTATTAAATTGTTGGAGGAGATAAACGCATAAACTAACCTTAAAGTGTTTTCTACGATAAATTTTTAAATTTACATAAAACAAAAATACAACCAAAACATAAATCATAAGTATAATATTTTGTAAAAGTTAAAGAAGAAACTGGTGGAGATTAATAAACAAATTTTGTATAGGGTTTAAACAACTACACAATAGTAGGTATATCCAAATTCCACAGCAATCGATGCTGTAGTTTTGGAAGTTTTATGTCTAATAAAATAGCTAATATTCATATATACAGGAGCAATCAGAAGAGCGGCACTTGCATTGTATAACGTGTACTCTGTTTAACTATATCAATATTTTAGTCTTAAATAATAAGTAGTATATTTTATAACAAGTAGACAAGTTCGTTTAGAAAATGAAATTATGCGTAGTTATAACAATTTTTAAAATTTTTATAAATGAACTAATCTGTTGTAAATATAATACAATAAATATCATACTCATAGCTTTATAAACTTTTAAAGCTTAAAATTTCACTAACCACATTATGACAAGAAATGTTTTACGTTCCGTGTTTTAAATCTTTACCAAGGAAACAAAATTTGTCCTGCTTCTCTAATTTTGGATACCATTAATTTCATTAATTCAGGCATTTCATTTAACGCGTGTTAATAGTTAACAGTTTTTAAATTTGTGTATGAATTATAGTAGATTTCGATAGCTGTTTTAATATAAATAGTTTGCTTCCTTTTGAATTAAATAATTTTGTGGTGTAAACAAAATAATATATAAATATAAATGTTGTCCACAGACTAATTGAGAATACAGCGGCTGGACCCACAAAATATAATGTGTGAAACAAAAATTATTTACATTTTAATGAGTGTCAAAATAAAGATTTATCTAATTGCTTTATTCAATTTTCATTAGTTATATCTTCTTGAAACCCGTTTTTCGTGTCGTGTGATTAAAAATTTTAAATATACCTACGTATCACGACGGATGTAATTTAAATCCGCTACGAGTTAGTCTTTCGTGATTTTTTAATTTTAAACAAGGAAGGTATCATTCAAAATGACATTTATCCAAAAGTCTCGTTTGGGTTGTTTTATTAAGTAGTGATAAAACTATCAAATTTTTTAGTATAAAATCGAAGCGCCAAAATATCTCAGTTTTTAGTAAAAATAACGCTGACTTACAGCTGGTTTCTGTATTAAAAAAATACCAATAAATAACTATGCCTAATGGACGTATTATTACTAGCCTACACATGTACTTTTTAAAATTTGATTTTTTTATTTTCTATTTCGTCTAAAAGCGTTTTGATTTTTTTTTGCCATGTATGTTTACGTTTGTATTCTACATAACCTTAAATCACGTGACCTAATTTGCAAAGCCCTCAAAAAATAAAAAACTTTTGCTACTGTATTTTAATTCATAAAATCATGCTTAAACATGCTGCAACCAAATATACACGACCAGGTTAATTTCTCATTCAAAAGAATGAGATAATTTCTTTGAACTTTATATTCAGACTACATAATCATTATAATTAGGTGCTACATGCTAATCCACCGTTCGGAAGTTACAAGAAGCTGTTATAAAATTGACCGTGACCCCATTCACATTCACTATCTTCTGTAAGTTTACGATAAATCCGTTTTTTTCTTAATAGCAACGAGACCGTGTTATTAAATTTTATAATTCATCCTTAAATGGATTTGTGATCTATGGATATTTTTAGTGAAAGCGTGATCGGTCACCGTATTTACACGTAAATGAGTACATTCAAGAGAACGAGAAGACATTTCGATCATATTTGATACAAGCGGACTGACATCAAGTACGTTTATTTTTTATGCAAAAAGTATACCACAGAAAAACAAAGGAATTAGAGTAGATCATGGTATAAATCTGGAAAATTCGAACTCACGATTTTTATTGTTGTCAAAAATTTCATGTCAAGTGTGACGTAACATTTATAGTGTAAAAATGATAAATTGTAATTTTTAATCTTTTTTTACTGCACGGTATACGGGTAAGGTATTAATTAAGAAAAATTTCAACTGTTTATTGGTGCGGATAATTATATTTAAATGTAGAAACGGAATCGGCAAGTTGATGCAGTTGAAACTGCAGGTAATAATATTTATGTGTATCTATGAAAGGCGATTTGGGGCACAGCGGGAGGCTGCGGCACCCTGGGGATCGACCCGCGACCTCGCTTTCCCACCACCCTCATTAACAGAAATAATTACAGTGCCTTAATTATCAAGGAATTATTGTTCCCTTTAACTGGTTTATGACGGATCCTCATTCGCAAATACGACGCATCTGACCGTTTCGCAAATACCACCTTAAGTGGATCAGAAACCCAACAGGGGTCAATTTTATTGCTGATGCATAGCTATAAACCACAGGTGCATTGAACTAACTAGTCGCTTAATTAGTCAGTATCCATTTTATTTAAGCTTTGCTGATGGGCCACACAACTTACACATGAGAAATTAACTCGATGGTACTCATCAATCATCCCGTGTCGCTACAGAAATCCTGAAGAGACGCACATTCTAACCGACGAGATATCGCTTACCGAGCTTTGTTCAAAGGAAGGCCAACATATTTCACACAATAATTAAACACGGGATATAAACTGATGCTAACTAACGGAAAACTTGATGACAATTTAATTATTAACAACAATTTTTATATGATCTTTTCGGAAATATACATATGACAATAAACAGTATAAGTGGAAAAGAAAAACGAATCCGTCTGTCTAATTCAATACAGTGAAAACGAAAAAGTATCGGTTTTATGTGAATATAATCACAGTTGTTTTTGGGTTACTGTTTTCCAGTTGACCACACATTTTTTTTTTTTAAATCCACTACCTCTTGATAACTTAGTTTCAATTGCTTGACCTAATCGAACGACTATTGATTTAAATCATAAGTTATTTCGTTATTTAGTTTCCACTTTAATTGTAGTTCAAAACGCGCCGCGGCTAAATTTACCAAGATATTTTTCCTACAACAAATTATTGTATCAATTATTATCGCATAAATATTTACGACTAGTAATATAGCCGAAGTTAAAAATAAATAAAATGTCTTAGATTACATTACAAAATCATATATATATATATAACGACTTTAATTTTTACTTTTTAAGAGATACTATTAAAGGGAAATATTGGCAAATGTCTAATGTTTTTATATAGTTATACCTTAAAGATTATTACCAAACTTAACATTTTTATGTTGCTGAGATTTTTTTTTCTAATGTGGTACATTTTTTGCAGATATGTCAAGACTAGAAAAATCGCCGCTTCTCGCAAACGGTTACAACCACCCACCCCATCTCAGTCATATGCAGTTTATGCAGATTCCTCACCCAGCTGCTGCACATTCTGCACTCTTGTCACCTGCGATGCCACATAATCTCACAAGACACGACGGTTCCGTCATAAAGAACCAAGGAATGCCCACGATGGAGGCCATAGCGAGGTAAATGAAACTTTTCATTAATTTTGTCTTTATGTTGGTTATTGACTATAAAGTCGATAGTGACAAGAATATGGCTTCGTACCACAATAACCACCACACATTCAGTGGCATTTCGTACTTAGAGGCAACCGTTTATTTATGTTTTACCGTGCCGCCTCTAAGTCAGTGGTCATTAACTAGAAAAGTAAAAATACTCATTATGTTAATCGCATATGCCACCATTTACATTTTAATGCAAAAAGAGAAAAAAGGCGCACAAACATAAAAAATCACGCAAAGCGAACATTACTCTGTCATATTATATGGCTATAATAAAATCGTAAATTAATTATGGCTAGACCATTTATGTGTTGAGTTTCACAGTTAACGATTTTTATGTGACCTGTAATGAGGAAATAGCAATCTTCTAGAGTTTTTTCTATGACTTATATCAAGCTGAAGATTTCAAATGAAAAAGCATCAGATCTGTTATTATATACCGATTAAACAGTTGGATGTGAAGAGATACTTATTTCAGATTAGGAAACTTGTGTGGTTTTTTCCGATGATCTTCTGTGAAATTTGAAGATATAAATCTTGCATTATCTCCACGTCTTATTTTTTGTCGTTAACTCATCACAAACATTTAATAACATAATCGATCACGCCAAATGGATAAGTGTTCTGTTTTGCAATTTATTACTTCAACCCATGTGCTATAAATTCTCTTGATGCTGTTATTCAGGAAGAGTATGTTTCACATTTTCTATTAACCTCAGATGGGAAAGTAAAAAATTAATCAAGATGTTCTTAAGTATTCTGTTCTCTAATCTGCATTCAGTCACAATTAGTACTTCAAGAAATTTCCCATAAAGTATAAATTTCAGTAGTTTTCTCATTAAGTAGCATTAATTTATATTAATAGACTAGAACACGTTTTTTCTAAACGTTCTCAAGTAACTTTTTCCACGAATGGAATTGTTAGCACATAGTAATTGTACTCTGAAATTAAACGCACGGTAATTGGTGCGATGCATGATACTAAGCAGTTATTTAGTTTCAGTGAAGTTTCAGATAAACAAAGAGCACTTAATCATTTTTATGAAGGAATTTAATAATTGGCTCGATACAACAAAGGCATACTGTTAATACTTGTTTAACGTACTTGTATATTCGCTTCGATATTGTCGGATGTATTGTTTTACCGTAATAATACCCAGTCGTTTAGATGGTAAGGTCTATTACGTCTAACAAGTATTTCACACAACTTGTGGTAACGATATTCTTTGAGATATTTCTGCAAAATTAAGTAGTCCCGACAGGCGTAACTATGTTGTTGAATTTATGCTGAATACTTTGTGGAATATCTAGTCTAATTTCAATACAATAAGAACACAGATTTAATATTGGAAATTGTTTTTTAGTTTTAATTGGGTATTATATTCTAACATAAACCAATACCAATATTGTTAAGATCTCCCAAAAAACAGGTCAAAAGACTGCAAATAACCGAAAATGTTTTGTTCTATTACACTACAAAGGACAAAGAGTCTACATGTTTCTCTAATCTTTTGTTGTTGCGGAAAAGTATCAATTTTTATAAACTCCCTATTTTGCTGATCAGCGTTACCAGTTTGGTTAGATTTTTTTGCGAATTTCTAAATTAGTTTGTCATTTTCTTCCATTACTTCTTCTTCTGGCTTCTGTAATCGTTTCTACAAAAACTTTGTTTATTCCGCGTGATAAATTTGAAACGATTCAACATATCACCTACAGACAGACGTAGAGAGAAAATAATTTTTGAGCTAGCCTACGTAAGTGTACACTATACGATCAAGATTTTGTCAAAATGTTTTCCGATGATTTAGTTGTGCAGAAATTCCTCCTCGACAAGCTTAATCTCTTGAAACGCGAAGTTATAGCTGCGATAAAGTATAAGTCCAGCAAAGTGAATGATGCATGACGCGTTTTCGGACTTAATCCTGCAACCCTTTCGTGTCTTAACTCCACAAGTCGAGGATTTAAGTTCAAAGATCGCGCTTGAAATCTTAGCGCTCAAACTTGAAAGTAGTTGAGTTTATGCAATATTTAATACAACAAACAACAGGATTACACATCAGCCTAAGAAAATTTCCCGAGTCAAATTAGTTTCCTAAACACAGAGGTATCCGCTTACTTGAATTGTTGATGTTCGCGAAGCCCAATTTCGCAACAAATCGTACGCTAAATGGAGAAAAAAGGGAGTGAGTGGGAATCGGGGTTGGAACTCCTCGGTGTCGTACGTCTTCTCCGTAACTTAAGGGGATTAGGAAATTTCTCTGGCCTCTGAAAATCGCAATTTAAGGGGAGTGAAAATTTTTACTATAACAGATTAAAAGTGGTCAGCGTACTTAGTTTAAAAGTGACGGGGATAATAAAACTAAGGTTGACTTAAAGGTTTGTAATCATTTATTAGTTAACGTTGCCCACACAGATCTACTTATGGTGCGTGATTTTTTTGTCTCAAAATTAAATCACTGGTATATACAGAGTGTCCATAAATGATGCATCAAACTTTAATTTTGTTAAATCGAAGAATTTTGCCGCTTGTAAGAAAAGATGTTTTTACAAAGCAAGTGTAGTGTACTTGCTACTTATAATTTCATTTTGTATTTTAAATTTATTTTATGAAATGGTTTGATGATTCCTCATTGAAAATAATAAAAATATTGTCTTAACTGTTGCATAATTCTAGTTATAATGCAGACTAGATTCAAATTTGGAGCTGGTATTTTAGGTTCATTTTTCTTTAAAAAATTAAAAGACAAATTAAAGAATGGTTAAAAAAAGAAGAAAAATAGATCGAAAGAAAGACTAATAATAAATTTAAATTTCATAATACAATAAATATTATGTTGAATCATATTTAATGGAATGAATCAGCTCTCCAAAAAAAAAAACCTAAAGTTGTACGGCTCTAAAATTGTTTTCAACTATACAGAGTGTTCTGTTTTTAAGACGTAACACACAACTTGATTTATTGAAATGGAGTACCCTATATATTTTTAGATATTTTGACCTCACGACCTCTTCTTCGACTTTATAATCACGGTTTATTTTTGAAATTCGGAGCGACGTTGCCACGTCATTTCACTTTTCATGAAATTTTTCACCAGCTGAAGGGTTTATAAAAAATCTATTTTTAAAAACTGTCAAATTTGAGTTAATGTTTTGTGGAGAAATAAATAAAGATATGCCCTTTGTTATGGTATACATAAAACTGAGTCTGAATATACCGAGTACTTATAAAAAATAAATTGTTACAATTTTCAATTATTAATATTTATTTCAGTTTTTTCAAATAGAGCACCCTGTATTTTATTACTTTATCTTATTCTATTTTTGTTCTCTTTCTTTTTTGTTAATATACAGCAATAAAATACACGATGTTCTATTTAAAAAACCGAAATACATTAATTAATGCAATTTATTCATAAAACACTGCAACATAGATCTTAAAAATAATTTATTGCGATTTTTTTGGGAACTCTTGCATTGCTAAAAAAAATCGAGAAAACTGGAATAACGTGCCAATGTTTCATCAGAATTTCAAAAACAAACTATGGCTATAAAGCCTAGGAAGAGGCTAACCAGAATGGAAGAATATATACAGTGTTTGATGTTAAAAAACTAAATTGCGTGCTATGCCTGAAGAACAAAACACTCTGTATAGTCGAAAATAATTTTAGTATATGCTGCTGAATAAATCGTATAGCTTTGGTGCGTGTGTCATCCTGTATAGAGGACACTCCATTTAAATGGAACACATATTATATATTTCCACCGATTTATTGTTTATGAAAAAAAGTAACAATGGTAGCAGTTTTTTAGATATTTCCAATTTTATGGAAATGGAGGTTATTAAGAAATTTATCTTATCTTAACACGGTCCAAACCTATGTATACAGGGTGACTAAATTTGGCTAAAGGTGAGTTTTTTTAATACAAGGTTTGGTGGAACTTATTCTATCCATAATTACGAAAATATTATCAAGATATAAAACAACATAATCAGTGTCAAAAGAAAGAATACTGAGAGATAAGCTTACAATGTTATAATACATACCGTGTCTCATTTAAAAAATAAGATAAAACTGACAGTTTGATCACTCACTAGAAATAAATTAAGTTAAATCATTCTTCAAATTTTTATGATTGTGTCAACGCAAGGTAATCAAAAACTTTATGCAAAGGTTTAAATCTGTATATTTAAACGTGTTAGTTAAAAAAATTTTAATGACTTTCATTTCTTTATACAAAATTACAAATTTGTTGAAAATTGTTGATCAAAAAACATGTACATTTTTGTGCTCTTTTAATAAAAAAAATCTTAATCTGAAATAATAAATATGTTTAAAAAAATGCATTTATTCAGTGTAAATTTCAAGAAAAAACGAAACCCTGCATATTTAAAATAATTTGAAGTTGTAATCTTAAATAAGTTGTATCAAAATGTCAAAATATTTTAATAATTTAATATATTTTAATAACTCAGGGGAAATCTTCGTAGCCAGACCGTTAAAACAGACTGTATAATCTTGGTTTTCGACAAATCACCTCAGCACAATTGCATCGACTGTTCAAAAACGAAAAACTGAAAGAGTAATAAGTATTCATGGATAGAGAAATATTTATCCATTGGTCACTTTGAACATTTTCAGTTTTTAAAATATATAGATAGCTTTTAATCGGTAATTTCTAGGCAAGTGTAGGGAAATAATTTTAAGAGTGACTAGAACAACAGCATAATATTAACAGTCCAAAAGAGACAACAAATATCAAAAAATTTCGATGAATTACTGTTTCGCCAGTCTCAATACTTATACACCTTTTATTTTGTGTGATGTATTGATGATAGTTTAATCTACGCTTCCCCAATTTTTTCTCATGTAATGATTTTCAAATGAAATTATCTGTTTACTTAATTATGATTGTTTTAGAAACGTTTTCAAAATTCTAGTAGGTACTACTAGAAAAAATTT